TGCAAATAGTCATTAAAGTTCATTTTAGGGAAGGAATAGACACCCCAATAAAATTAGCTTTAATAGATAATAAAATCAATGATAGAAAGGATGCTGTAATATCCCAAATTTTCGGGAATATTTAAGTGTAAGTTAAGGACTTGATTGTGAGAAAAGATTGTTTTGGGGCCTAATGTGAATATTTCAAAAGTTGAGGGACTTAAAGAGGGAAAGATTTTGGATAAGGATGACTTCTTTTCTTTTTCTCCTTTTTCTTTCTTTCTTTCTTCTTCTCCAGCCCGATTCTGCTTTCTTCTCATTTCTTCCCGCTGCAGCCACCCAAAGAAAAAAAAAAAGGAAACCCAGCCATGCCTTGAGGAAACCGGTAGAGAGCTTGGTTTTTCCCTTCTTTTCTTGTCCAAGAACCAGCTTTGGAGCCCAGAAATTCTCCCCCCTGCAGGAAGCTTCCGGATATGCTCTGCTCTTCCCTCTGCTGTCCGTCGGCTGCTCTTGTTTGTGGGGGTGATTTGCTCCGATTTTGGGTAAGAAACAGCCATGAATCTCCCTTCTTTAGCTTGATTGAGCTTGGGTTTATCTTAATTGCTCTTGTTCCTCCAATTTTTGGGTAAACCCGTGAGCTTCCCCTGCACTTGCCGCCGGCTTCTCCCCCTGCTAGGTCCGGTTCTTGCTGAAAAATTATGGTATGTGACAGCCTTTTAAGGCTTAAATTATCCATTTAAGGTTGCTGCTTTGTGATGTCCGAATTTGGCTAGGAAATGAGGAATTCCGGTAGCAATTAAGAGGGGTTTTAAGTGTGTTTTGTTGCTTAATTCAAGTGAGATTTATATGATTGAGTGTTAATGGACTGCTATGTGATTTTTGGAGGAAAATCCCGTGAGATTAGCTAGTGTTTTGGCCAATTTGTGGGGGTGGAGTTACTGTTCACGTCGGGTATTGTTCACGGGTACTGTTCACCGACACTGTTCACACCCCGAGGGCCAACATTTAACGGGAATTTAAGTGATTAGTTTGTGATATGAGAACGAATTTGGAGATGTCTGATTATGTGGAAAGTGATAGAAATAGCATTGTGATTAGGAATGATCCTAATGATGATTTCAGCTTGAATGTGTGATAGTCCGGTATTGATTCTCGGATGTTTTGATTAGGTTCCCGATCGTTCTGTTAGTTAGTGCGTGACTTGAGTGCTCGGTTTTATGCGAGTGAGGTAAGTAAATTTATGGTAATGCCCGTACTGTTTTATAAGCATGTTTTGATTTGTTTTTGAAGTGGTGGCGGGACTAAACCCGTTTTACGCGAGTATAACTGATTTGAAATGATATTTTTATGCTTTTCATGAAATTGAGCATGCCTACTTGAAATTTGAGTGACTATCCTGATGATCTGAAAGTGATTGTGAATCGTGATTTTCCTGTTAACTTCTGCCTGTTTTGTCTCCGATGTGGTCATGTTATTCGTGACCCCACTAGTGGGGGAGGTATAAACGCTAGCACATGTCGACATGT